TAACTGACCTATAAATAGACTGTGCCATAATAGACCAGAGAAGCTACAACTTTATCAATGAGTTGCCTCTCTCCCCACTGCTCTTTCCACCAGTAAGCAGCAGCAGTGGCAGCAATAGCCTCTCCCACAGGTTGACAGTTGCCAGGGTGTGGAGGTTTTGGACGGAGAGCAAAAGGCTAGAGAATAGCTCCCTACACCTGATCCAAAAAGAGATGTTCACGTGCATAAGCCACACTTACACATGTGTATGTAAAGACATAGTGCACATAAAACACCCTTCTGCATGTATATGTCCTTAATAGGATGCTGCACATAGAATGTTATAGAGTTCCACACATACACACATTGATCCACGGACTAGAAGCTGGCTTTCCAAAGTCTAGTTTACCTAATGTAACCACTACACCACACCAGCCCTAGGGAAGGGACATAGTGACCAGAGATTCTAGGAACTGTAGTCCCAAAATAACTTTTCCAAGAGCCACTATGACATTTCTCTCCAAGGCTGTTCTGTAACTCTCAACCCCTCCAGACCTCTCAACCCAGTATTTTCCTCAACCCCACACCACTGCCGCAAGAGGGTGAATTATTTCTCCTGGAACTGATCAATCAATCAATGCTCTTATTTATATCCCACCTTCTTGCCAAGATTGGGAGTCAAGGTGGCTCTCTTAGTAGTGATATTTCATTTCTTTGAAAAGGTTGTAGGGCCCACCTGCACTATTGAACATGAAACAATACCAGTTTTTTAAAACCAAAAGTAGAATTGTGGCCACTTTCCATTTTAAAAACATTTCATTTTAGTGGTGTCTATGTGGTTCCTAGAGGGTCCCAGGGGCCAAAAATTGGCTCTCCAACCCACCACAATTGTCCACAGTTGATTTTAGTGTCAGACAGAGTGTCCTGAACCATCTCTCTGATTTGAGGTAAGCTTCACACTCTATTTGGGGATGAACTCACAAGCTTTCCCTGTAAGAGATTTGTTAGTCTTTTAGGTGCTATGTGACTATTATTTTCATTGTAGCAGGCTAACATGATGAATCCATTAGAAACTGGCACAAGTAGATTGTTACTCACATCCTGCCTGATGAAATACTTGAGACATCCTTCTCTCTCCGACAATAGAAACCTGCGCGGCAGATACTGCCCATTATCTCGGCCCCGTTTCCATAGGATCCCTTCCTTCACTCCTAAGAGAAGAAATCCAAACTGAAGAGTACATTCAGTGACCACAGAGGGGGCATCAGAGAACCTTTGGAAGCTACCTTAAACTAGATTAGACAATTTTGTCTAGGAATGGGCAACATGTGGCCCTTCAAAGAAGTTTACCAGGAACTGTGGTGTAGTGGTTTGAGTGTTCGATTACAACTCTGGAGACCAGGGTTCAAATCCCCACTCAGCCATGGAAACTTGTGGCTAAGTGGGGAAACTGGGTCATACTCTCTCATCCTCAGAAGAAGGCAAAGGCAGACCCACTCTGAACACATCCTACCAAGAAACCCCCATGATAGGTTAACCTTAGAGTTGCCATAAGTCAGAAATGTCTTGAAGGCACAAAACAACAACGCTTGATTTCTGGTTACTTTCTTCTGGCCGCATCCCTCTGTCTTTCACACTGTACAACAGCAGGAATTCAACAGGCACAGCTTCCTCCCATCTCATCTGGGGAAGGCACTATTTGTTGGGATTTCTGTTTCATACCTTCCAACAGCCCTGGTTTGGCAGAAAGAGCCCTAGTTTATCCACTGTTGTCCCACTTTCTCAGCTGTTTTTATAATATCCTCATATCTCCCTCTTCCTCCCACTTTTCTCTTCCTTCCTTGTTTATTTCAATTGCTGCAAACTGAACTCAACTGCAAAAGTAGTTCACATAAAATTAACTCAGAAGGGAGGAGAGTAGGGACTGGACTCTTGTCTTTCTCAGTTGACTCATCTGGGATTTTTTATAGCCTTTTGTAAACTCAGTACATAAATTCTAGGGGTTCTCTACATAAATAATAATTTTGTGTGTTCTTCTTCATTAATAACATTTGTTTTGTTGTTGCCCTTTTGACCACACTGTTGGGCCACTTATGTCCCAGTTTTTACCTATGATCTTTATCACACGGGGGAAATCCCATGCAGAAACGGGGTTTTAAATTTTAAAAACCCACAAAAGCAGGTAGATTTTCACATGACATTGTTGTTAAACTGTTGTTAACCTGAACAAAAAGTGGTCAAAAGCCGCTTCTTTTTACTTTCGGAAAACCCCAAAAGTAAAAAGGACTGGCTTTTGACTACTTTCCATTTGGGTTAACAACAGTTTAAAAGTGATGTGTGTGAAAATCAACCTGCTTTTGTGGGTTTCCCCCAGCTTTTAAATCCCGTTTCTGCATGGGATTTCCCCCATGAGATAAAGTCCTATGAAATGTTGGAGGCTATGTATCTGCCACTCTGCATTGGAAGGCATGTGACCTTCACCAGAATAAATACTGTTAGCACTTTATTCTTGAGAGGTAGGAGCTGGGGCTGAAATTTACCCATAACCATTGCAAAACTGTTTCCGTACAGAAGCTACTGTGTCTCACCCTGTTCACTGCACAGCTTCACACCTTCCAAAACACATGGACCACAAACACTGAGCTAGATGTGTTCCTGTTACATTCTGCAGGCTCTTGGGGAGAAAGCATTTCCTCTGGTGGGCAGAAATAAAATGACATCCTGTACCACTATTCCATAAACCACCTGCCTTAAGAGGGAAAATGTTTCTTCAAAATGCTTCTTCTAACCTGTCAGAGTTAGGTCCACAATTAAAGCAGTCTGACAGCACTTAAACTGCCATGGCTATGTTGGTGGTGAAATTTGTCATTTGGTGAGGTACTTGGAATTCTCTGATAGAGAGCTCTAGTTCTTGGTTCTCAGTCCTTGGCCTTCCAGATGTTTTGGATTTCAACCTCTGTCCTGTCCTATTGACCATCCAACACTCAAACTACAACATGAACCTGCACACTTTGTTAGACACTTTAAGTATCAAACCCAGACATGAGGTGTGAATTCAATTAATAATTCCACTTTTCTAAAATAAAATCAGTAAGATGGGAACTATAGAATATGGCAGACACAGTACTGGCACCAAAAATGGCAGCCCAGCATAGTGTTATCCTGCTCAGTAAGGGAAAAAATGTTTATCTGTATTATAATATCACATTCTATAGCACTCCTCTTCTGCTAGAAGTAGACAATAATATAGAAATTTGCTATGGAAATGTGGAACATTACAACATCAGATAGAAAACAGAAAGTGTGACTGCAAGTTCTGCAAAAAGAAGAACTCAGAATTCAAGTATTATTTTTGCCAACAGTTCTTTGTCTCTTGCAATCTGTAGTTCCATCCATAATGGAAGTAAGTTCATAGAAATCTAATATTGTTGTTTGCTACTGAAACTGTAGCATACAGGATACTATTACTATCAACTTCATTAATTATCTGTTTGCCAATTCCAGCTCTGGATATAATGATGAAAATAAAACAAAGGACAGAATCCAATAGGATACTTCTGCTAATGGAGCTGTTTTTGTCAGCAAGGGAGGCAATCTTTATTCCCCCTCCTCTACAGCTCCCTTTCCCATCAAGAGCCCTCAAAACCTGTTCTTGATGTGTGTGTGAATATATTTATCCCAGTTGTCAATGATCCAGAATTTGGAACTACTTGACCTGTACCAGAAGGAGAAAATCCAACAGTTTCAGATTCTCCCATCACTTCAACAGTCCGATGGGAGAAAACTTCACCTGATGAAATTCTCCTTTCACTTAATTTCTGCCTGAGCTTCTGCAGCTAAGAGCCACTAATGACACTATTCAAACTTCTGTTAATTGCACTAACATTGGGCCTTTGCAGACTGCTAGAAATAGTGCAAATTGAGTCCACTTTAAGGGTTAGGGTTAGGGAATCATGGGAACTGTATTTTATTGTGGCTCCAGAGCTCTCTGACAGAGAAGGCTCAATGTCTCAGGGGAAAAAAAACAATTCCCATGATTCCCTAGCACTAACCCTAACCCTTAAAGTGGACTCAATTTGCACTATTTCTGGCAGTCCGCAAAGGCCCATTGTGTATAAATATTATGATTGTGTCTGAGGGCTTCTAAAAAGATGTTTGGAAGAGGAGTGAAGGGACAGAGTCTACTGCAGAATCATTACCATTAAAATATAGTGGCTTTTCTCCTGGCTTCATGAATTCTTTCCGTTCATATTTGGCTCGTATCCACTGCTCTCTCAGGACTCTGTAAGATCATGTCACAACAAATTATTTATAGTGACAGACCAAAAAAAATCCAATAATGCCCACCCCACTACCCTTACTCCTAATGCAGATGGAGAGATGGCACTTACAGACAATCGGTAGAGATTGGGTGGTAATAGTAAGATGGAACAAGGGCCTCGTATTTTTCTTTAGCCTTTGCGTTCCCATGCTGCGCCAAAAACTGTAAAGCAGGAAGACACTTGAGTTCATCTTTCCTTTCATATAGGAGATATCTCAGGGCTACGCTTACCCAAAGTTTAGAAACATTATTTTTGGAGTACGCTTCTCAAAATCTCCCAGCCAACATAGCCATGATTCTGGGAATTATAGTCCATAAAAATAACTTCTGTTCTAGTTGTGACCCTGCCCCTGCTTCCTGTTCTGTCATCAATAAAATTCTTGCCACCCCCAGACTATGAACAGTCCTCATGATAAAATAATAGGTTTGGAAGGGAACCCAACAATAATCCAACCTCTTGCTAGGCGGGAATACTCAGCTAAAGCACTCCTGAGAAATGGCCAACCAACCTCGGTTGAAAGACTTCCAATTAAGGAATCCCATTTCCCTCTGAATCAGACCATTCCACCTTACTGTCAAGCAGATCTCCTGGAATATCTCTTCTTCCAATTTTAATCCACTGGTTCATCTTCTCCATGTGAAGAATTATCTCACAAATCAGCACAAGATCAAACTGTCAATTTTTGTTGCATCCTGTTCAGAAACTGAGAGCCATTTTACATCAGGGCTATGTATCATGTGCTCCTCTCAGATGTTACTGGACTGCAAATCCCATGATCCCCCAGCATTGGCTTTACTGGCTAGAGCTAATAGAAGCTGCAGTCCAACAAGATCTGGTGTTTCATATATTGAGCTCTGCTGAAGCTTTTATTCTCTCATGCCCATGAATGCAATTCTGATTTTGAAAAGTGGGAGGGTAGAGAAATGCATTTCTTAGCCTCAACCCAACTGCAGTATTAATGATGACCGGTCTAAATAGTACAAGGAGCCTACATGAGTGCAGCAGACGTCCTGTTGCAGAAAGTTGGCCCCATTATGCCCAAAAGAGCCTGTAAAGGTACTTTTTAGAAGTACCATGTTTAGGCTGCTGCTACACTGCAGGATTAATGCAGCTTGACACCACTTTAATTTCCCCAGCCAACATGGTCCCTGGCCTTGCTGGCTGCAGGATTCTGGGAGTTGTCCTGCCTCAAAACTTTTTTGTCAAGGTCTGTTCTGGAAGGCTGTAAAGATGGTCTATCATGATTGCCATGGAATCCTTGGCATCTCTCCCACTGAAAAATGGGTTAGGGGGAAATGAACAAATATGGCTACTGTAATAGCCTGGCTCAGAAACATTTATATTCATATATGATTCCTCTTGCTGTCAGGTTTACCAATATCCTTCCTTCATGATATAAAGGAGCACAGAGAATTGTAAACTGTCAAAGAATGAAATGAGCACACCTTTCAAGATGGCAAGCCTCCACATAACTGAACTATAGCATGGCTTCCAATTTGTTTAGAGCTTTCCTCTGTGGAGTACTTAGGATAAGGATTAATCCAGACCTGCTCAAAATAAAAGAACATAAAAGAGGGTCCACAACTTTTGGGAGTAGGGGTGGGCTGACATTATTGCTACTGAAGGTAAAAACTAAGGGTCATCAGGTTCATTTATTTACTATACAGGTACACATTTAGATCCAGTCTTTTCATTTGAAGTGCCCAAGATTGTTAACAAAAACAAAGTTAAAATGCAATATAATCAAGACAAAACACAGTCCCTGCTCCTGCTACATTAGCACTCTTTGCTATAAGATAAAGAGGCAAAGAGCAGAGCTTGGATAAATTGGTTTGTGGACTATACCTCCCAGAATCCCACAGGCAATACAGCTGAGGGGTTCTTGGAAATATAGACCAAAAAGTAAATTTTTCAAGATCTGACAAGGAGCAAGGCAAGTTGAATGATAGTGAGAAGAGATGCTCCAAATGCTTCCACTGAGCATCCTACTCACCATTTCCTGTCCTAGAACAGGAGCAGGTCTTGGGGAGTTTACTGGTATATGGCACACTCCAGATCAAAGGAGGAGTCTGGAATAACAACACAAGAAGCAGGATGAACCC